ATGGTGGAGTGGTGGGCTTGTACCACCACTCTGCCAGGGAAATCCAGTTACTCCAATCCTTAGGATAGTGCCCACACATGCACCTCAGATAGGTTTCCAGGCATTGGTTGACTCTTTCAGTCTGACCATCCGTTTGTAGATGGTAGGTTGTGCTCAATTGTTGCTGAATGCCTAAGGTCTTCATCAGTTCCTTCCAAAAAGTACTGGTGAAGATGGGATCTCTGTCTGAGACAATGCTGACAGGGAGCCCATGTAATCTGTATATATTGTCTAGGAAGACCTTAGATAAATTAGAAGTTGTGATGGGTTGAGATAGTGATACAAAGTGTCCATATTTAGTTAGCATATCCACCACAACCCAGATAGCTTCTTTTCCTTTTGAATTGGGTAACCCCACAATAAAATCCATGGTGAGGTGGGACCAAGCTTGTTCTGGAATTGGCAAGGGTTGTAGGCTTGTAGCAATCCCGGGTTCTTTACATTCTCATGTTTATTAATCTGACAAACATGGCATTGCCTGACTACTCCTTCCACTTGCTGCTTCAGCTGAGGCCATTTGAAAGTGTTTAGAACCCTTTGATAGGTCCCTTGTATCCCTGAATGCCCACCAAAAGTTGAGTTGTGTATGTAATTGATCACCTTGCCTCTGAAATCAGAGTTACTGCCCACATATACTCTGCCCTTGTATTTCAGAATTCCCTCACAATACTCAAAATAAGAGACATCCATGGGTCTCAAGATGCACTCAGTGATAGCTTCTTGTGCCATCTTGTCCCCTAAATAACTTTCCACCAACTCTTGCATCCGCATTGGTTGCAGAACTGTAATTTGAGCCAACTCCATTGGTTCATCCCTTCTGGATAAGGCATCAGCTGCCTTATTTTCTGCACCCTTTTTGTACTCAATAATGTAATTAAACCCCATTAGTTTTGCTAGGTACTTATGTTGTATGGGAGTGGAAAGTTTCTGCTCCAGAAGGTATTTTAAACTCTTTTGATATGTCCTAATGGTAAAGGTACCACATATCAAATAGGACCTCCACTTCTGTACAGCTAATAGTATTGCCAGAAATTCATTTTCATAGATAGACAACCCCACATTCTTGGACCTTCAGGTTCAGCCATTGTCAAAGTCGTCGCCGTCTGTTATGAATTACTCAGATTAATAGAATAGTGATAGATAAAGGAAATACTCATTCAAAGCTCCAAAAGTGAGAATTAAATCCTTACAAAACGAGTAAATAAAGATATGGAAGATATGCCCAATAACAGTAGGAATTAAATAAGCTAGGGACTCTACCCTAATTCTACCTAGCTACAACTACTAATCCAAACTTCGATATCAAATTCAGCTCATTTCCCCTTTTAAAGCAAGGCCTTCCTCTTCCAGCAAGTTTTCTTGATCACTACTCCAGCAGCCCACGTGCTCCTCACACGTGCTCCGTTTCCCAGCTAAGTTGTGACTAGTAAATGCGAATTTATTAATAAAAAAACCGATTCTCTTGAAACGAGACCGTCCAGCAATTAACCCAAATCCCTAATTCAAACTCTAATCCTTACACCGTCGAGCGAAATTGCTTGGAGATGTTGTAGATAGGCGTTGCTATAATTGGGGTTGGGTTAGCATCGGATTGTGCGGATTCGGGTTTGGTATAGGGAAGAGGCCGGTGGTGGTGCTGAACTTATTGTTTTTTTTTTTGGGTTTGGGGAAGACGATGACCTTTCCTTTATTTTCTTTTGTTTTTTTATTTTCTTTTAAATAATTTATTATATTTTTCACATTATTATTTTGCAATTCTTGAAATTATAATTTGGTCCTAAAAATTTAAGTTGTTCATATTTTAACCAACAAGTTTATCTTTTATTTTATAAAGGGGTATTTATGACATTTCGTCCTAAAAATGCCATAAAAAAGCCCACAACCCGCGAGTGAGTGACACGATTTGCGTTCAGGGGTCTCGATGCGGTGACTTTGTTAACACAAGGGGGTGTTGGTGAGTTTTTGTTTCAAGGGGTATTTGCGAATTAGAGATAACACAGGGATGGTATTTGCAATTAGCTCGTCCATTATACAACTTGTTAATAATCACAATTTGGATTTTGCTCAGTATATGCGGATTAAGGTCTCGATTGACGTTTGTAAGTATTTGAAGAGGGGTGGATTGACTTCATTTACAAAAGAACTCCCAACCACAAGCGCTACAGCTCGAGGTGGAGACATCTTTGCTTTTACTGCTCGACGGCCTATTGAAGGAGAACAACAGTCGATACTTAGTGTGGGGAAAGAAAATGTGGGAGTTAGTGGTTTGGCTGAGGTGGGGATGTACAATAAGAACACATTTTCTAATAAAAATAAAGAACAAATGGGTGGAGAAGGTGACTGATTTGGGCAACACAAGATGAGGTAAGAGACAATTTGATATATTCATTACCAGAACAAGTGGAGAGCAACAGGGATCTACGACTTTCCGGAGAAGCACGGCGGCACCTAACATGGGATCTACTACGCTTATTGTATGGACAACGGGACCTCCCATGGGTGATTGGCGGGGAATTCAATGAAGTTCTCTCGAGACGCTTTGGCTGATTGTTCTTTATTTGACTTCGGCTTTACCGGGATGCCTTTCACATGGTCTAACAAAAGACAAAGCTCATTTACTGTTCGAAGTCGGTTGGACAGGGTATGTGTAAATAACCGATGGCTAGACCTATTTCCACATGCTCAAGTGCAACACCTTGAGTTCGTGGGTTCAGATCACATTCATATTCTCCTCAGCCTCCAAAGAGCAAGGATCGGTAAATGCACCAGAGGGCGTAGAACATTTCGTTTCAAAGCGATGTAGATCCGACGAGATGAGTGCGCAGAGATTGTTCAACAATAATGGACTGCCCACGATGAGGCTGATCCGATGGTGGATATTCTTCAAGAAATATGAGTGTTGCAAGATGGCTCTCATGCATTGGAGCAAAGCAGTGGTTCACCAGCCCAATGCGGGAATACAAAAGCGTCTTCACCAATTGCAGATGGGTGAACAAACTTCGCTATGGGCGGAAGATATTTGGATTTTGAGGAGCGAGCTCGAGCCATTGTATGGTGATCTTGACACCTATTGGCGGCAGAGGAGTAGGGTCCAATGGATCATAAGGGGACACGAACACGAGTTTCTTTCACTTGAAAGCATCTTCACGGAAATGGACTAATTGGGCTCACAACTTAAAGGATCAAACATGTACTTGGAAGGATCGTAAGGAGGATATCAAATATGTCATCACGAATTATTTCTCCCCAATTTTCCATTCATCGTCTACGAAAGAGAGTGTGATTGATAGAGTATTGGAGCACATTGAGCCTCGGACTTCAACTGCAGCCAGTCAGCTACTCTCTCTTCTATTTACAGCGAACAAGGTAACCTGAGCTATCTCTCAAATTTTCCCCACCAAATCTCCCGGTCCTGATAGTTTTCCTGTTTAATTTTAAGCCAAATATCGGAATATTTTAGGTGATAATGTTCTCGAGTGTGTTCTTGATTTTCTTAATAGCTGAAAGCATCCTTGTGAACTCAATTCACCTATATTGTTCTTCTCTCTAAGGTGAAGAACCCATATGTGAAACGTCATATATAAATTTGGCTCTAAGGCCATTGCTAATAGAATCAAGCTTATTCTGAATGATATTATTTTCCCTACCCTATCCGCCTTCGTTCTTACACGTTTGATTACAGATAATGTTCTTGTTGCTGATGAAATTAATCGTTTTATTAAATCTAACTCTAGTAAGCGAACACGTTATATGGCTGCTAAATTGGATATTAGTAAAACGTACGAACAAATCGAGTGGATTTTTCTACGGAAAATTATGTGTCGCCTTGGTTTCCCTGTTGACTTGATAGAATTGAATATGTTGTGTGTTTCTTCGATGTCTTACTCTTTTATTTTCAATGGTTATCAGTTTAGCTGACTATGCCCGTTGCGCGGTCTTCGACAAGGAGATCCCCTTTTGCCTTATATGTTCATTTGTTGCACGGAGGCTCTTCTGGCATTGATTCATAACGCCAAGGAGAGGGGTGCGATTTAGGGAATTAAAATTGCTCGTGCAGCACCGACAATCTCATTTCTTCGTTTCGTGGTCGGCACTTTGCTATTTTGCTGGGCAACGGAGTCGAACGCGCTCTCTTTTAGCCAAATCCTCAATGATTATGCGAACGCCTCAGGACAGGTTATTAACATTGACAAATCCACTATGTATTTTTGCCCAAGCAGTTCGACGAACATTAGAGCTGTTATTCAATCGATTTTGGGATTTCAGATTGTTGAACGTCACGATAAATATCTAGGGATGCCGGCGGCTATAGGGATGTATCGTAAGGAAATCTTTAGGGACAGGTTGTGGTCTCGTATTGAGGGTTGGGGTGAGAAGCAACTCTCCAAAGCTGGTAAAGAGGTTTTATTAAAGCTGTACTTCAGGCTATTCCATCGTATATTATGATCTGCTTCAGTTTACCGCTCGGTTTAATTCGGGAAATGGAATCAGCCATCCAAAAAAATTGGTGGGAAAATGGCAAATCGAGACCAATGGCGTGTACATCGTGGGATAATCTTTGTAAATCCATGGAATACAAGGATAGTTTTGTAAAATGAACACACAAGACACTTTTACTAGAATGATAAATAAATATCTTTTTTGCTACAAATAAATTATATTTGATGGACTTTTATAAAAATCTAACTTTTTTTTAGTAAATACTTAGAGCCTAAAGGTGGAAATCGCAATCGGAATTAGTATTTTCGAAATAAATCTTTTTTTTTTAAAGTGAAAATTAATTCCATTTAAATTATTATTCGGTCCATATGAAATAGCCCAAGCTCAAACCCAATAACAATCCACTATTCCTTTTCTCCCAAGCCATACCAGTCTAAATAAAATAAATAATAATTTATAAAAAAAAATAACTAATTACTAGCAGTAATTATAAATAAGTAAAAACAATTAGGAACCATTTTATTTCATTTTTCTCACCTCAGCACGAGAAAACGCCTCTTCTCTCCCTCAAGCAAAGAGCTTAGCGGCGTGAAAGCGGAAAAACCTCAGCTCTATTCACCAAAGGTAAACCGATGACTCTCTCTCTCTCTCTCTCTCTCTCTCTCTCTCTCTCTCTCTCTCTCTCTTGATTATGGAATTGGCTGATGAACCGATTTTTCAATCGTGGGGTTTTGGGCGTGTATTTTGTCAGATCTGTTATCTGATTGGTTGTTTCTAGGGTTTGACTCGTTTTCGGATGATGAATTATCGATACTCAGTTATGATCTATGAACTCTGTGGTAACTGATTTTGTATAATTCTTTTGTTGAGAGGAGATAATGTGAAATGTATGTGTAGGAGAAAATTAAATTATTTGTTTTACCATTAATCTGCTGAATCGACAGAGCGAGAGAGAAAATTGTTGAGCTGAATTCACTTAGGCACATTTGATTTGGCTTAATACGAGTGGTTCTATTTTTATTTTTTTGTTAATTTGAATTAGCGTTTTTCGTATTAGCAATTTAGCATACATCTCCGTAATCGGAAGGTGTACTGAAATCATTGGATTCACCGAGTAGTCCTTTTCAACGTTAATGGATAAGTTTTCACAACATTTGGGTTATATGTTTTCTTTTTCAAGATTCTTTTTGTTTTTCGTACTGGTACTTGTAAACGAAGCCGAGCTAATCTATTAAGCTACGGAGTTAATTGTTAGGCTATTGCGATAGAATGGCATCTCTATAGATCCGATAGTGAATGTTCAGTTGTGGTATGTTCGGGTTTCTTTTTGGTTGTGTTGGTTTTCGCCTAAAGGTTAATTAGAAACAATTCGACTCTGGATTGTTTTTTATTGGATCTGAAAATATTGGATGGAAACTACAGATACTGCATAGCAGAGAGAAAAAGAAAATGAGTGTACTTCCATGGTTTAGGTAATCTAATAACAGATACTTCCAATCCTTACACGCTGCTAAATAGTATCAACCTCGACGTATTCATCAGTTTGTTGGTTTTTCTGGTGCTCTTTTAGAACTATGTTGAAGTAATTGTAAAATTTTACAACTGTTAACCGCCTTAAATGCTACTTAGTTGGTTTTGAAATTGAATATGAAACTCATCGTTTCGTATAAATATTAGAATAGTTGATTGCCTTAAAGCGATGAAAAGAGAGAGAGAGAGAGAGAGAGGGGGGGGCTATTGATGAGTGCTGAATTTCCTTTTCGTTTTTCATTTTGGTGATTGTTGTATCTATGTTTAATGTGTAGACTTCAATTTAGGATTCAATGGCATCGAAGTTAGTGCAATTGCAGTCCAAGGCCTGCCAGGCGACACAGTATGTGTCCAAGCATGGAACGACCTACTACAAGCAGTTGTTGGAGCAAAATAAGCAGTACGTGAAAGAGCCACCAACTGTGGAGACGTGTAACGAATTAGCCAAGCAACTGTTTTACACTCGCCTTGCCAGGTTACTTTTTGACTACCTTACTGTATAACGCTGCTCTTTTCCGTATTTATTTTAAAGAAAAAATCGGGTGGAAGGGTGACCAAGTTCATTTGTGTTCATTTTTCTCCCTGTATGATCTCAATTGTTAATTTTGTTGGATTTTAACTTAGTTAATAAATTATGAATTCCTTCCTCTTTTGAACGATGACCACAAATCATTAAGCGAGTAATTGCTATGCATGTCTTGAATTCAATACATATGAACTCGTTGTGAAGTGTTACTGGTAAACATTTGCATGATGGGAAAAAGGAACTCGACATTCTTAACGGTTACGCATTTTAAACATTTCAATTTGAAGAGTTTGTGAAAGCGTATAAGAATATAGGATTTATGGGGCTGTAAAATATTGAATTGGTTAAGTTTCTATTGCCATCCATCATTGCACGAGTCCTAACGGACATGCTTTGACTAATTCGGATGAAAGTTACGTAATTGTAAGGCCAAAAATAATATTTGTTCACGTAATATAAGTTGAATCTTCTAATGTATCTGGATATCACGGCAAATATATGCCTGCTTTCTTTTGCACTTTCATGATTATTGTTGTTTGTTTGATATAGTCAATGAGTTTCTCCTGACCCGTAGATTACGAGGTTTACAAACACAAAGATGGATCTTTTTTTTTTTGCACTCGGGTTCTTTCTTTATTAATTAGTTGTGTTACATTTACTGCAGCATTCCAGGTCGTACGGAGCAGTTCTGGAAGGAACTCGATTACGTGAAGAATATGTGGAAGCACAGACAGGAGCTTAAGGTTGAAGATGCTGGCATTGCTGCTCTGTTTGGTATCGAATGCTTTGCTTGGTTTTGTGCCGGTGAGATTATTGGCAGGGGATTTACCTTTACTGGTTACTACCCCTGAAATCCAAACCGAGTGTAATCCAATTGTTGTGGGCAAATTTGGTTCGTTCTCATCATCAGCATTCTACGAGCAAGATTTTTGTTTTTTCTGCAAAACCTGAGAAACGAGTTTTAGATTTAACATCTCAATAATTAGAGTATGTTTCAATGTTTCGAATTCCCTTTTGTTCGTGGAGTGCTCTTGAATTTCAAAGCATTTAAATGTTTTTTTTTATCTGAAGATAATACTGCTACTGCGATTAAGTGTAGCTCGAAGAAATGTTTGAATGGTGACTTCTTGATTTACCCATGAGATCTCTCTTTCCCTAATAATGTTTTCCACCGAGCTTTGTGCAGTTAATGTGGATGATATTAATATAAGCCTAAATGGCTTTGATTTTCTTTATTTTTTTTTAATTGTGATGATTATCTGTCACTCTTTAATAGTAGCATTCTCCGATAGTAGCATTCTTGAATTTGTGACTTTCTATCTTGAATTAAAATTCATGACATGTGCAATTCACCACTGTCTATATTATGGATGGAAGTTTGAATGCGTATGCTCTCATATTTAGCTCTATTTGATTGAAGAACCTGATCCAATGAGTTTACTTTCAACTGTTTTGAAAATCATTACAATGGATTCCCAATTTATTATATTCAATTACGGCTCTTTTGCTTTCAATGAAAAGCCAAGATCGACTAATTAATCCCGTCGAAACTGAGGTCAATTACACCGGCCCGAGACTGATTAGTGGCCCGCAATTTAATCTTGCCTTCTCCTGGAATTCCAAGATTGTGTAATCACATTCCCTATTGTTGGATACAGTCAAAAATTCACTTCCCAAATTGTCCTCTTCAACATGTTCGAATTGCAAATTAGTGTTTGTATGATAAAGTTGTAGAACTTTTCATAGGCTTTTTTTACATCTTGAACTAGTGCAATCAGTGTTTGTATGATAAAGTTAGGATCAAAGTTATTCAAATAGTAAGATCACATATTTTTGTTGTCCAATTGATCTGACTATCTTAGACACTAAAATTAAGACCAAAGTTCGTGTGATTTTGTTATCTAAGAGCATCTCTAGTCATAATCCTCAAACCAATTTTCCCATTAAATACCTAGAATTTAGGGAAAAATAATGCTCTAGTGGGATGACATTGAACCCCTATAATTTCTCTTAAATATTCGGATACCCTATCACACACCCAATAGGGAGTTCTTTAGGAGAGAGGAAATGATGACTATGAGTGAGAAAGAGGGTAGAGTTTTATAAATGGTAATTAATTGTTAATATTAATTATTTATGGTTTTATAAATTATACTTAAATAGAAATGTACATTTTCTGATTTGTGTAATATTAATTATTTCTTTAAAATTTTTTTAAATGGTAATTAATTGTAATAAATATCAGAAAATTATAAATACATTAATCATGATTTTTGTCATTCAAATATTCTTTGAATGAACATTAATGTATAATTCTTTTATTTTAATTTGTAAATTATTGAAAATATTTAATCTAAAAAAATGTGCTTGATTTTTTTAGTTTGTCTCATTAATTTATTTTAAATTAAAATCAATTATTTGATACCTTAAATATATTATATGTATGTTATATCCATTTTTTAATTAATTAATGCAAATACTAAATAGATGTTTTAATAAATTTAAATTGATAAAGTATCTTGTAAAAATATTGTAATTAAGTATAAAAAAAGTATTAAAACTATTATATTTAATTAATGAATATTATATTATAATTTTAATATATGAGGATAATTTTTAGGGAATATTAATATGCACCACTAGATGACTTTATTTTAGAGAAGATAAAAGTAAATTGTTTTTTTGAGGATTTGGTAAATTGATGATGTATCATATGGTCCCACTATTTAGGGGTGATTTTGGGTAAAATAATAGAGATGCTCTAACGGATAACATATATTCATATTACTAATTTGGGGACTTTACAAATAAGCCTATCAATGGGTACTTATTTATAAAGAGATCAAGACAAAAAACTCTTTTACCAATAAGTCCACACATGGTCCAGATTTTTGTAAAGGACTAAAATAACTCCTCATACTTTAATACGCTCCAATTTCATCCGTAACTTAATTTAACTTCATTTTGACTCCAAATTTCACAAATTATTCAATTTTGACCCAAAACTTTTATTTTTCAATTTTTTTTTTAAAAACTTTTTGTTTTCCGCCGGATTCCGGCGTTGACTTTTTCAATTTTTTTTTACTTTCTTTCTTCCGGATTTTTTTGCCGGATTCCGGTGTTGACCGGCGGTCAACGCCGGTCTCCGGCGTTGACTTTTTTTTTTTTTCTGTAACTTTTTTTTTTCCGTTTAAACAGCAATATTGTTGTGATTGACAGTAAGATTAACTATCTTACTGTTAAACACAGTAAAATTAACTAAACTATAGTTTAACACAGTAATATTACTATATTAATCTGTAGCACATTAATATTAACACAATAAAACTCATTATTATTGTGTAATAAAGTAATATTACTATGTTGACCGTTCAACAAATGTAAACATAATAAAAAAAAAAACAAAAAAAATTAATATTACTGTGAGTAACAGTAATATTACTATAGCAACAGTAATATTACCGTCAACCACAGTAATATTACAATAATAGACAGTAATATTATTACGTTACTCCGTGAATAACTCAAACAAACAAAAAATCCATACAAAATAATAATATTGATGTGGTTGACACCAATATTACTATAACAACAGTAATATTACAGTCAACCACAGTAATATTATTGTGTTTACAGTAATATTACAATAATAGACAGTAATATTATTACGTTACTCCGTGAATAACTCAAACAAAACAAAAACCCCAAAAAAATAATAATATTGATGTTGTTGACAGTAATATTATTGTGTTTACAGTTATTTTACTGTCAACGACAGAAATATAATTACGTTGACTTGTCAACAAATCAAACAAAATAAAAAAAAAAAAACAATAAAAAATAAAAAATAATAATATTACATTAATTTACTGTCAACGACAACACAATTACATAAATGTAATGTCAACGGCAGTACAATTACGTCAATTAACTTTCATTGACAATATAATTACGTTAATTTACTGTCAGTGACAGCACAATTACGGTCAACGTTTAGCGGCGGACGTGGAAAAACAAAACAAACCAAACAAAAAAAAAAACTTAAAAAAACACATAAAAAAGTCACCGCCGGAAACCGGCGAAAAAATCTGGAAGAAAAGAAAAGAAAAAGAAAAAAGCAAAAAAAAAAGCAAAAAAAAAAGAAAAAAAAAAGTCAACGCCGGAAACCGGCGAAAAAATCCGGAAGAAAAAAAAAAAGTCAACGCCGGAATCCGGCGGCCAAATTTTTTTTTTTGAAAAAAAAATGTTTGTGAAAAAAAAAAGTTTTGGGTCAAAATTGAATAATTTGTGAAATTTGGGGTCAAATTGAGATTAAATTAAGTTAAATGATGAAATTGGAGCATATTAAAATATGCTCCAAAAAAAGTCAAAATTGAATTTTTGTGGTCAAAATCTGATTTTTGTGGACAAAAATTGATTAAATTGAGGTTATAATTAAGAATTGGGTATAAATGTTTGAGGGTAATATTGGGATATACATGAGTGTTTCCTTTATTTATAACAAATATTTAAGTGATGGACTTATTGGTAAAAAATATATGTCCCCTAAATCTAGAATAATAAACATGCTTGGTTGGGGACTTTATCACAAAAAAACCCCTACTAATTGTTGTTAGATAGACTCTACAATGAAATTCAAATACCAACCAACAAACAAATAAATCAAAATAATAAGTTTTAATGGGAAGTTGCAATATTAAATCACAAAACGAATTTAAAAATTGAATTTAAAGTTTTAAAATACTAAAATATGTAACAGAATGTGTAAGTTTCCCATTTTGTCCTATCTAGCAGTCAAGTGATTGTTCGCAAAATAGCTAGCCAACCAATGAGATAGCAAAGGCCACGTTGTATTCCAAATCTTCAGGAGGGCTATTTTCGTCATTCCATTAAGCTACATGAAAACCAGAAGAAGCTAATATAAATATAATTAAAAACCAAGAGACATTTTTTACATTAGAGAGAGAGAATTAGAGAGAGAGAGAGGCGTATAGGAGATCATCTCAGAGAGAGAATGCTGCCGCGAGCCGCCGTGGTTTACCGGACAGGCGCCGCCGCCGCCGCCGCATTCTTATTCTTCTTCATCGTGATTGCTGAATCCGCAACGAATTCACAGGCAATTCTTCATTGTAAAATTCTCATCCTTTTTATTCATCGAAATTCAGTTTATTTATTTATGTAAATTGGCTGTGGTTCAAAGGTCGAATGCAGCAGAACCTGTGCGGCGGTGAACTGTAATTGTGAGTATTTTTCCAATAATTAATTTATTTTTTTTGGTATATGCGTTTTAATTGGGGGGTCTGAAAATCTGTGTGGTTTAGCAATTGGGATTAGGTATGGGAAGTACTGCGGAGTGGGGTGGACCGGATGTGCGGGGGAGAAACCTTGTGATGATCTCGATGCTTGTTGCAAGATCCACGACGACTGTGTCGAAAAAAACGGTATTTTCTTTTTCTTTTTATACCTCTAATCTTTGCGTCATTGGGTATTCGTTGTGTAATTGAAACCTAAAATGTAGGATATATAAATTGTCTTATGATGAACAATCTGAGATATGAATTGCTTTTTGTATTATAGTGTTGCATCTTGAATTAATTTGGTCAGATTACGGTAGAATCTCGATAAATTAATAGCCTCGCTTAAATAGTAATTTCTTCTGGTTCCGGCTCGGTAAACACGTACTATATTATTTGTTAGATAATTTAATATTTCGCTAAATTAATAGAATTTTGCTAGTTCTGATTGTACTAATTTATAGAGGTTTAATTGTGTATAGAATATCTGCGCTCTAAAAAGTAACAATGATTTGCGACACGGCATTTCAATCAGTAGCAAAAATTGTGTTTTAATTCCATTGAAGGGGATTGGTGTTAAGATTGTATTGTTTTCAATTGTCAGTAATAACAAGAAGAATGTGAAAACATGTTTTTGTTGTTTTCGGCATTGTTCCATTTTGTCCCATTTTTTAAGCATAACCATTATTGTTGGCAGTCATAAATGCCTCATGATTTTGATATTTATCACTTAATCGATTTTATTATTCTAAAGAAAACTTATCTTTATTTATCTCGTGATTTCGATATTTATCACCAATCCCATTATAGTTACAACTGTACTAGATACCTCATTTCTTATTCATGATGTTTCATGCCTTCTCAGTCTCAAAAGTTTCACCCATAATCTTTCTTTTATTGTTGTATTTTTTTCAATTGTTGGCTTATTTTTTATATGTATTTTTTATTTAATGAAAGTTCTTACTATCACGCTCATCCGATGCATTTGCCTTCTAAATGTATTTTATATTGCTAAAAGTACTAAATATCGCATTTTATTACCATACTACACCTAACCGATATACCATGGCCTAAGACATGTGAAATACCTCATTCGATTCCTTTGCCTTTTAAAGCACTGATAAGTGATAAGACACACTAGGTCAACGTAGAAACTTCGTTTTCTTTTCAGTCGGAAAAGAAAATATTAGGGCGCTCTCCTTGCTAGTGGGTAAGAATCTACTGTTTCTAAAACCATGTCCTGAATTGGTACCACATTTTGGTGATTGTTTAAGATGTTGGCCTAAAGTGTCAAGTGAATTGAAAAGTTTCAATCAATTTGGGTAAGGATAGACTTCTTGGGCCTTGTTTGGCTGTGGACATTAGCCATGATTAACTAAATAATTCGACTTTTGTTTGATGTTTGGTACCCAATAACTTCCGAGTCGACCCGGAAATATTATGTTATCATTCCTTTTAGGGAGCTTTTCTGTTGGACCTTGTTGGATCTAATAAAACAATTGAGTTCAATCCTAGCTTGGCTAATCCTCCTATCTTGGTAACCAAACGAGGCATCATTCTGGTGGAACTTATTCCAATTTCACAATGCCTTGTGTTCTTTCAACCTGTCGTGTCTTTCCTATAATCTTGAATTAGCCCAAGAAAATAAACCTAGAGACTCATGATTGTAGACTATAGTTCTCGTTGATGTTTCCTTGTCATGCCCATTTTGTACAATTTACTCTTTCATTTTTCTCGACTGTAAGTCAAAATCGTGTAGCAACAGCATCGGAACACGACCATCAGATGAAATAGCTCACTAGTAATTGAATGTAATAGAGCCCATGCATTTAGGCAGACATTCTTATGACAAAAGCTTATAAATTAAGTTCATTACAAATTTATGAATGACTGAGAGAATTAGAAGCTTGCAATATATGTGAAATGTTTTTTCATTCTCTTAATAAAGTAACCTTACCCTGTCGGAATCAGTTATCCCGGGGATGGGGTGAATAGTGACGGATAAAAATGTGTGATTAGAAGAAAGATAATAATTATCTTAACCAACAAGATCATGTTTACTTCGATGGATGGTTCACCTTATCTATTTATACATATATACATATATGGTTAAATGTTGGACTGAGTTGAGAGAATATTTTCAGGAATGACAAACATTAAATGCCATGAGAAGTTCAAAAGATGCATAAAGAAGGTACACAAATCGGGGAAGAAGGGTTTTTCTGAAAGCTGTCCGTATGATACAGCTGTGCCGACAATGGTACAGGGAATGGATATGGCTATTTTGTTTAGTCAGTTTGGCGGCATCAAGGATGAATTTTAATACCTCTTAACACACACACACACACACACACACACACACACACACACACACACACACATTGGTTCCAACGTTTCTGCATTCTTTATGGGTAACTACCATTCTTGAGTGTTGGAGAAGATCAATTTTGCTCCAATCTCTTATTCTTGGCCTCCTTATTTAGTGCGAGGCTTCAAACTTTATATCATTATAGACACGTTTTCGTCTGAGAAGAGACGATTTTTTTTTTTTTTTTGAAGTCCTAGTAACAGACACTTTGCTAACTGACCTTTTTTTTTAGAAAATGCTATTTGCGGTCACAAAATTGCTATTCGCGGTTTCTAACAAAACCCCCCAAAACTTTTAAAAATATCAAAAACCCCCCCAAAACTGCAAATAGCAAAAAAAAAGTAAAAAAAAATTCGAAAATTCGAAATCAAGCTTGAAGAAGGGTTGGGCTTCGATTTTTTGATGTAATTTCGACTCTTATATGTGTAATATGCATTGGGTAGATCGATTACGGGACCAATTTCATGTTAAAAAGCCCTACAAATCGATTTGTAGGGCTTTTTTTTTTCGCAAAAAAATGGTCGAACGCCCA